GCCTAGGCCGCGGAGAGCTGGTCTGCTTGGCGCGGCTGGGTTGCCGGGAAGCCGTATACAGCCGCATACAGCTATTCCGGGACCCTGCAGTGCTGTGGCGGCGAGGGAGGATTGTCAGGTGCCGTAGGGAGCCAGAGGAAGGTGATAGTGGCGAAATCGGCAATGGCAGAGACCGCATCGATGGCAGCTGATTCAATTAACTGTAGACTGAGGGGACTTATCGCCCAGTTTGATTTAGCTGGGTCTTTACAACCTCCCTTGTCTTTGTGGCCACCGGAAGAACTGGACAATTTCTGTTCTGAGAGGATGGGACTTTTTCATTTGGGTGAGTGTGCCAGTGAAGATCCAGGGTTGTTGGTGAGGTGGCTAGAGGGGGATTGGCAATTTTTCCATCTTTATCTCCCCCCTTGGAACCCCCCCCCCCCCCTTTTTGCCCCCCCCCCCCCCCGATTACTGCCCTTACTCCGATTTTGGCCAGCCTATCTTTACCAGCTTCAGTGGTTAATTGGACTTTAGCATCACCCTTCTCTATTATACTGCCGTGATGCCCTTTCTGTGATGTCCCACTGCCTGGAAGCGGTTCGGGCCTGAATGGGAAGAAACAGACTCAGACTCAACCCATCCAAGACTGAGTGACTGTGGATACTGGCATCTCTTGATCTAGTGGCCCCGTCATTAGTGATGGGAGGGGAGACCCTTACTCCCTCAGAAGGGGTCTGCAATCTGGGGATCCTCCTGGATTCACGGCTATCCCTAGAAGATCATTTGATGGCCGTGACCAGGAGGGTCTTTGCACAGGTACACCTTGTGCGCCAGTTGCGCCCTTTCCTAGATCGGGATGCCCTTGCCATGGTCACTCATGCCCTTGTTACATCTTTGTTTTGTTTTTGTAAGCCGCCCTGAGTCCTACGGGAGAAGGGCAGCATATAAATTACATAAATAATAATAAATAAATAAATGCTAATAAGCCAGGGAGATGGTTGGCCTACAGATTAAAAAAGGATAAATTAATACAGCAAATTCAAAAAGACTTAGATATTTGGGCCAAATTACAATTATCCTTAATACGTAGAATAGCCGTGATAAAGATGAATGTATTACAGGGGTGAAATGCTCCCGGTTCGGACCGGATCGCCCAATCCAGTAGCGATGGCAGTGGGGGTGGTTCAGAGAACCGGTAGCAAAAATCCCTGCGCCTCCCCCACCATGCCCAGCTGAGTCACATGATCATCAGAGGCTTTTTTTTTTTTTTACTTTTAAAAGCATTTTTTCTACAACCTCTTTCGACGAAAAAAAGCTTTTAAAAGTAAAAAAGAAAGCCTCTGATGATCGCGGGGCTCAGCTGGGATCCTCAGAGCCTTTTCAAAGCATTTTTTTCTGCAGCCTCTTGGTCAAAAAGGTGGTAAAAAAAATGCTTTGAAAAGTCTCTGACGATCCCAGCTGAGTTGCCTAATCGGCAGAGAGGCTTTTCAAAGCATTTTTTAAAAAGCCTCTCTGACGATCCCAGCTGAGTTGCCTGATCGGCAGAGGCTTTTCAAAGCATTAGAAAAAATGCTTTGAAAAGTTAAAAAAGAAAAAGTTGGCCACGCCCACCCAGTCACATCCCCACCCCCACCAAGCCACGCCCACAGAACCAGTAGTAACACATTTTACATTTCACCCCTGATGTATTGCCTAAATCAGTGGTCCCCAACCCCCGGACCGGTGCCGGGCCGTGGAGTACCTGGCACCGGGCCGCGCAGCGGCCAGGGGACATGAACGCTGCAGCGCAAAGGCTCCTGGGCCGTGCGCAATGGGCCGTGCGCAAAAGCTCCTGGGCCGTGCCCCCACCCCTGCGCGCGCTCAGCGGGCCGCGGCGATAAAAAGGTTGGGGACCACTGGCCTAAATTATTATATCTTTTTCAATCGATACCAATTAGACTAGGGAAACTGTTTTTTGAATATCTAAATAGAATGATAGGTAAATTCATTTGGCTGGGGAAAAAAGCCCAAATAAAACGTAAACTTCTGCAGGACTCCAGAACCAAAGGAGGATTTGGCCTGCCCGATTGGGAATTATATTATCAGGCAGCTGCAATAACTTGGTTAAAAGATTAAGAAATAAATCCAATTAAGAAATAAGAATATTAATATTGGAAGGGCATGACCTCCAGTTGGGATAGCGTGCATTCCTTTGGGAAGGGAAAATTAAGACACATACATACTTCCAGAGACATCTAGTGTGAAATGCTTTGATCGATACTTGGAATATTATAAAGAAAAATCGTTATATGAAAGTTCCAGTTTGAATATCAATGATATTCCAATGTATTGGATTTAAATAAAATAGTAAGATATTCGGACCTATTAGATGAAATTGGAAATTTAAAGTCAGAACAGGATCTAATAAAACAAGGAATAAAAATTGACTGGTGGCCATACTTACAGATTAAAACAAAATATAAAAAAGATAAGGAACAATTTGGCATATACAGAGAACAATTGGAATTTGATAAGATATTATTAGGATCCGGGAGGGAAATGATAATAAAAATGTATAATTTTTTATTGAAATCTAAAATGGAAGAGGAAACTGTGAAAGAAACAATGATTAGTTGGGCAAAAAATTTTGGACATAATATTCATTTGGATCAATGGGATAGATCCGTGATGGCGAACCTATGGCATGCGTGCCACAGGTGGCACATGTAGCTATATCTGTGGGTACGCCAGCTCAGCTCTGGCGCGCATGTGCGCGCTGGCCACCTGATTTTCGGGCCTTCTGGGCCCACCAGAAGTAGGGAAACATGCTGTTTCCTGCCTCCGGAGGGCCTGGGGGGGGGGAAGGCCCGTTTTTCTTCCTCACCTGGCTCCAGATCCTCTCTATGCATCTGGGGAAGGCGAAAACAGCCTTCCCCACCTCCTGAAGGCCCTCCTTCAGGAGACCTGAAATGGCCCATTTCCCAACTCCCGGTGGGACAGGAAGTGACGTGTTTTGCTCTTCCCCAGCCTCCAGAGACTCCTATCTGGCCATCGCGTACCAGGAGTGTACCAGTAGCGTACCACGGAGGGTTGTGTGCGCATGCGCAGGGCGGGTTGCATAGAATTATGGGTGTGGGCATGCACACGCACGAACCTCCCTCACCCCCCCTTCCTGGCACGCGATGGTAAAAAGGTTAGCCATCACTGGGATAGATTATGGGAGAGAATTTACAAACTAACAGTGTCAGCTGCTTATAAAGAAAATCTTTACAAAATGTTCTACTGATGGCATTTGCCACCAGTGAGATTGGCCAGGATGTTCTTCAATAGGTCTCCGAATTGTTGGAGGTGTGGACACAAACAAGGGACATTCTACCACATGTGGTGGACATGTCCTAAGATTAGGAAAATTTGGGGCAAGATTAAAAAATGGCTGGATGAAATAATAGGGCAGAAGATAGAAAGAAAGCCAGAACTGTTTCTCCTGGGTATTCTGGAAGGGAAAATGCAGAAAAGTATACAATATATCATATTACATATACTAACGGCAAGTAGAATTGTGATAGCACAAAATTAGAAACAACCACACACCCCTCCAGATCAAATCATAATAAAACAAATATACAAATGTGCAGAGAAAATGAAGGAGAGGGAGGACACCGAGTACTATTTAATATGGAATATAAATGGTATTCCTGGCTGGAGAGTAAACATTTAATGAAATGGTGAAATGTAAAATTTAAGGGATGTTTTTGTTATGAGATCGAATTGCCTGCAATTTCTGCAGGTTCGAATCTTACCAGGTTCAAGGTCGACTCAGCCTTCCATCCTTTCTAAAGTAGGTTAAATGAGGACCCAGTTTGTGGGGGCAATAAGCTGACTTTGTATAAATATACAAAAGTATGAAGGCTATTGCTTAATGCATTGTAAGCCGCCCTGAGTCTCCGGAGAAGGGCGGCATATAAATCAAATTTAAAAAAAAAAAAAAATAGAAATCAAGATAATTTAAATAAAGATGTAAGTTTAAGATAGAGATATTTAGAACTAGAATTTGTGTAAAGAGGTTAAATAGGTTAGAGATACCGATGCAGAAAAGTTGTTGTTAGTATTGAAAGTTTGATGTTTATTTTTGGTTGTTTGTATTTTTTTGGTGTGTGTGTGTGTTTCTGTGTTTTTCTTGCTTTTTTGTGTGTGTATTATGTTTCTTTTTGTACTGTGTATTTTAATCTTTGGAAATTTAATAATTTTTTTTTTAAAAAAAATCCTGGCTTATAGTATTGTTAAAATGTATCTAAAACAAATGGTAGCCTCACTATATGTGTTTTTATAAAAGTCAGGTATAGATTAAAAATAGATTAAAAATGAGTTACAAATATAAAAATACTTAAAAATATTTTTTAAAAAATTTACATATTTAAAATTTTTTAAATATTTACAAAGTATTTTAAAAAAAGAAAAACCTAATTTACTTTTGGAGGAGCTCTTTACAGCCATTGCTGCCATCTTAGCTCCACCCCACTGTTTATTTTAAATTCTTAAAGCTTTTAAAGAAACAGGGTGTTTTTTTCTTATAATAAGGATTGAAGGTGCTTATCCAGTGTTTCCAGCCTTCTCATTTTGAAGGCATCTAACCTCTTTAAAGTAGTTTATAGGCAATTTCTAAAAAGTTACTAGCAAAGGAAATGCAAACACAATGTCCTTTGGAACGCTCCAATTACAACTACAATTTCCTCAGTTTCTAGTTGGCTTATCCTTTGGAGACTGCTGTCTTGTGTAGCCTCATTTAGAGAAAGAACTGTAAGGAACACAGTTTGGGTGGTCTCATGTCACGCTTTGCCCAGATAGGATTAAAGGAGCTGATCTATTTTTTAGTTCCCTGTTCTTAATCACAGTCCACCACTTTTCCCCAGAAGTTACTCATTTATTTAATTGGGCTATCTTTATCTAGCTCTAGATAAAAAGGAGCCCATATTAATGTGGAAATACTGAAAATTCAAGTTTCACAAACTTTTAAGCACCGTTGTATATTGTGTTTATAGGGTGTAAATCCCAGGAGAAAAGAGGAAAAAATCATAAATACGACTCCAAATCAGCACGGTTTAAGAAGAAAGCAAAGGAAAACTCTCTGAGACACTTTAAAACCTCCAGCCAACATCAGCACCGTTCCACTAGTGAAGATGAGGATGAGGATGAGAGTGTCCCTGCCAGTTATCACACTGTATCTTTACAGGTTAGTCAAGACGTAAGTATAGCCATGATTTTTTTCCTCTCCCTGTGTTTTTTCTAGTGTAATATCTATAAGTTAACTAGATACTTATTCACATTGTTTTATCTTGTGTGACTTTTAAAACACAAATAGAGAGGGGAAAAGAGAAACAGATTTGAATCAGAATGTCAATGGGGCCTTTCCTATAATTAGGAATATTATTTATTTATTAAACTTCCATCCTGCTTTCATTACTTTATAAGTAACTCCAGGCAGTAAACATACACAATACTCTTTCCTTTTCCTATTTTCCCCACAACAAAACCCTGTGAGGTGGGTTAGACCAAGTGAGTATTTCATGCCAAAGGTGGGACTGGAACACACAGTTTCCTGGTTTCTAGGCCAGAACTTTAATCACTATACCAAACAGGCTCTGAGGAGCAGTTTGGATTGGATTATTAGTTAGAGAAGGGAGCTCTCTCCTTGAATGCTGTAAACTAAGCATAATCCCAAAGTTTGAGTGGATTTATGCGAGTGGTAATTCAGAAAAGATAACAAAATATGTATTTTAATGGATTTTTTTTTTTTTTTTTGCTTTAATTTATATGCCGCCCTTCTCCGGAGACTCAGGGCGGCTTACAATGCGTTAAGCAATAGCCTTCATACTTTTGTATATTTATACAAAGTCAGCTTATTGCCCCCACAATCTGGGTCCTCATTTTACCTACCTTTGAAAGGATGGAAGGCTGAGTCAACCTTGAGCCTGGTGAGATTTGAACTTGCAGTAATTGCAAGCAGCAGATGTTAATAACAGTGCTTTAGTCCACTGTACTACAGGCTCTTATTTAATTGGGCTATCTTTATCTTTTTGAAGATGTTTAACAAGAAATAAAGAAGATTGTTTGATGCTTGTTATTAGCTTGAGATTTTAGTGTTCATTATTAAACTAGGTAACATTTTCAGTGCCAGAAGGGAGTGCAGTTTGCTCTTGTTAATATACAGTGGCTTTCCCTATCAGTGGCAGTGGGAATGTTGATTTCTTCTTGGTAGTTCTTTTATTAATCTGTTGTTTACTGTTTGATTGTTGATCAAGTGCACTCTCTTGAATAGTGCATAAATGTTTATGTGTGCCTGTTGAAGTCCGAATTGTCTTGAGTGCCAAGTTTCCATGAATTTCCTAACATTTTTAAACTTAGCTTAATGTCAGATCCTCACAGTTTCCCAGTGGAAACTATGGTTAAGTCTATTCATGTATTGTAAAATTCAGGAGCTTTCATCATGTCTTCTGTTAGTTGGCACATGCAAATACAACAAGCAAGATATGAAAAAGATGCAAAATTATACGGTCTTTATTTAGAAATTACAGATTTGAATAGGATACTCATGGGAACAGAGGATAAAATAATTTTTAAAAATCTATAGTTTTCTGCTTAGCATTGAATTAGAGGAAGAACAAGTAAAGGAAACAATGATTGCTTGGGCAAAAAATTGTGGATGTTCAATTGAGCTCGATAGATGGCAACAGTTATGGGAAAAGAACTATAAACTAACAATGTCCACTGCATATAAAGAGAATCAGTATAAAATGTTTTATAGATGGCATGTGCCTCCAGAAAAATTGGCAAAAATGTTTAAAGACAAATCAGCTAAAAGTTGGAAATGCCATCAAATACCAGGATCTTATTATCATATGTGGTGGACATGTTCAGAAGCTAGAGACTATTGGAGCAGAATTAAAGACATGGTTAGAAGAAATGATCCAACAACACATTGATTTAAAACCTGAGCCATTCCTATTGGTATATAGTACCAAAGAAAATTAGTAAAGAAAATATATACATATAATAACTACAGCAAGGATAGCATTTGTGCAAAGATGGAAAGCAGAAAAAAATCCTATACATTGCCTATACATCTTCCAATCAAATGAATATACATGCTTTATCAAAAGATTATGACCGTTCAACCCACTACAGCACAATCAACACAAGCTATCAAAAATAACACTGCTATATATCAAAAACATCTCAGAATCAACTAACATAATATTACAACACTATGGCATTATAATAGTACACAAACAAACTAAAGCCTTCCAAAACTTCCAAGAGACCCAATAGCCAAAGGAATAAAAAAGGAATAATCTACAAAATTTGGTGTAAAGTCTGTAACAGTTACTATGTAGGACAAACAGGCAGAAAACTAGCAGAACATGAACAATCCCTTGTTCTTCCATTTCTTATTTCCCTTTCAATTCCCCCTTGTCTGTAAGTAAAGTCTTTATATCTAAAAATATTTCTAAAATTAACCATATTTGGGTGTATCAATGCTTCCATTGTTGATAACCATATTGGAATTTTCAAATAATATTTATCTCTAACCTTCTCCCACACTAATAACAATGCATTTCTTACATAATGTCTATGAAAATACGTATCTTACTTCTGCCATATCATAAAAATGGTATGGCAGGAGCCTGAGTGGCGTAGGAGGCTAATGCCTCCTACGCCAGGCAGCATTTAGCAGCAGGCAGCATTTAATAGGGGCTCCCGAGGTGGCTCGGGAGTTCATGGCTTCCATGACGGCCATGGACCTGACCCAGCTAATTCATGACCCTACACACATAGGGGGAAACACACTGGACCTGGTTTTTGTCTCTGGACAGTGGTTGAGTGATCTTGAGATAGGGGATATAGTCATCGAGCCCTTGTCATGGTTGGATCACTCTCTCCTTCACCTTGACCTTCGAACCGCGGCACCCCGCCGCAGAGAGGCGGAACCGATAAGATGGTACCGCCCCAGGCACCTGATGGAACCTGATAGGTTCCAGATGGAGCTTGGGCCAATTCCTGAGGTTCTGGCTCACGCCTCAACTGGAGACCTAGTGGCCACCTGGGATAGGGTGGCCGCTGGAGCTCTGGATCGGGTTGTGCCTTTGCAGCCTCTGACCCGGCGCTGATCTCATTTGGCTCCTTGGTTTACTGAGGAGCTGAGGGAGATGAAGCGCCGGAAAAGACGCCTAGAGAGCAGTTGGAGGGCTAGTCTTTCTGAATCGGACCGGACACTGGTAAGATCTCATATTAGGAATTACCGAGTGGCGATAAAAGCAAAATGTACTCATTTTGCTGCTCTTATTGCGTCATCAGATAATCGCCCGGCCGCCCTGTTTAGGGTGACCCGCTCCCTGCTCCACCAGGAAGCGCGGGAGGACCCCTTGGAGGGAAAAGGCGAGGATTTTGTTCAGTATCTGCATGACAAAATCACTCAGATTCGGGAAGGTCTGGACTCTGACTGGGTAGATCCAGCGAGGGTGACGGAGGCAGGTCTTGAGACTGTTATCTGGGATGAGTTTGATCCTGTGACCCCAGATGACGTGGACAGGATTCTGGGTAGATTGAACGCGACCACATGTCTGTTGGACCCGTGTCACTCCTGGTTAGTGCTGGCTTCCCGGGAGGTGACGCGAGGCTGGCTCCAGGGGATTATAAATGCTTCACTGGGTGAGGGTGTCTTCCCCGCTGCCCTTAAGGAGGCAGTGGTGAGGCCCCTCCTCAAGAAGCCTTCCCTGGACCCGGCAATATTGTCTAATTATCGTCCAGTCTCCAACCTTCGTTTTGTAGCGAAGATTGTTGAGAGTGTGGTTGCGGGACAGCTTCCCTGGTTCCTGGATGAAGCGTCGAATCTGGATCCGTTCCAGTCGGGTTTCAGGCCTGGGTACAGCACGGAAACGGCATTGGTCGCGTTGGTTGATGATCTCTGGAGGGCTCGGGACAGGGGTTGCTCCTCTGTCCTGGTCCTGTTAGATCTCTCAGCGGCTTTTGATACCATCGACCATGGTATCATGCTGCACCGGTTGGAAGAGTTGGGGGTGGGAGGCACCGTACTAAGGTGGTTCTTCTCCTTTCTCTCTGACCGGTCGCAGTCTGTGTTGACAGGGGGGCAGAGGTCGACCCCGAGGCCCCTTATATGTGGGGTGCCGCAGGGATCGGTCCTCTCGCCCCTTTTGTTCAACATTTATGTAAAGCTGCTGGGTGAGATCATCCGTGGTTTCGGGGTGAAGTACCATCAGTATGCTGACGACACCCAGCTGTACATCTCCGCCCCGGACCACCCCAATGATGCCCTTGAAGGGATGTCCCAGTGCCTGGAGGCCATACGGATCTAGATGGGGAGGAACAGGCTCAGGCTCAGGCTCAACCCATCCAAGACCGAGTGGCTGTGGTTTCCGACGTCCCAATATAGTCAGCTGGTGCCATCGCTGACCATTGGAGGTGAACCATTGGCCCCCATGGATAGGGCTCGCAACTTGGGCGTCCTCCTGGATTCACGGCTGTCTTTAGAAGAGCATTTGACGGCCGTGACCGGGAGGATTTTTCATCAGGTTCGCCTGATTCGCCAGTTGCGTCCCTTTCTAGATCGGGACTCCCTACGCACAGTCATTCATGCCCTCGTTACCTCTCGGCTGGACTATTGCAACGCTCTCTACATGGGGCTCCCCTTGAGGTGCACTCGGAGGCTCCAACTGGCGCAGAGTGCGGCCGCGCGGGTGGTTATGGGAGCGACGTGGAGTTCCCATGTAACACCTCTCCTGCGCGAGCTGCACTGGCTCCTGGTGGTCTTCCGGGTGCGCTTCAAGGTTCTGGTCATCACCTTTAAAGCACTCCATGGTTTAGGACCTGGTTATTTACGGGACCGCCTACTACCACCAATAGCCTCCCACCGGCCAGTACGCTCCCATAGAGAGGGGCTCCTCCAGGTGCCGTCAGCCAAACAATGTCGGCTGTCGGCCCCTAGGGGGAGAGCCTTCTCTGTGGGGGCACCTCCGATCTGGAACGAGCTCCCCCTGGAGATACGGAGGATCCCGGATCTGCGCACCTTCCGCCGCGCGCTTAAGACTCATCTATTTCATCAAGCCGGCCTGGCCTAAATCTTCCCCCTTTTACATGTGGAAATTTTAAATTTGTTTTAATTATAGGGTTATGGGTAAGGCGTTTTAAATTGGGGAGCCATTTTGGATTTAATTTTCTTTTAACTGT